ACTCTTTAAACAAGTCTGCCCATGCATCCATACAATTTTCAGGTAGATTGTGATCGGTTTTAATACTCATCATTCTAGCAGCCAACGACAATTTAGATAGATCTTCTCTACAACTACTGTAAATTGGCTCATTCGTAGCTTCTAACATTTCATAAAACTTATTTCATCTAAGTTAGGTTCTTCAACTTTATCATCATCATGAGTTACAATGCATCACCTACCATGTCATGAACCCTATCACAATCTACCATTTGTTCCTCCTGGTGATAGCTATTTTCATTATGCAAATGATCAACCGGTTCAACCTGAAAATTTCTATTACTACTGCTAGCTTCATTCCTACAACTAGCATCTTCTCCATGTTGATACCAAATATAATAATATGGCATGAAAACTTTATTTATTAAATGCTTCCAAACATTTTCACGAGGGCCTAATTTTGTATTGCAGCATTTTCGACAAGGACAGAACATCTTACCACTTTCCTGCGTGAGTGGTGTAGAATCTGCTCGATGCATAAACGTCTCCAACCCTTCGAGATATTATTTCGTCACTCTCCCGTTATTATCTCTGTGTGAATACATCCACTTCCACAACTCGAAAATATTTCCAGGACCGGATATTTTTTTTTCTTTGATCAAGATTAAAGCTGTTTTTTTTTATGTGTTTGAAATGAATCACAAATGGTGGTATTTATAGAAATTTTTGAATCTGAACATTTACTAGGGAATTGCGATGAAAAGTAGGTAAAAACACGTTTTTAGATTTAAAATACATATTTTGTAGCCATTTCCTTGTTAATTAGAAGTAACAGAACATTTCCTCCTAATTTCGTAGTAATGTTTTACGTGGACTTTACGAGGAAAAGTTTTACTACGAAATTACGAAAAAAAGTTTTACTACGGAATTACGAGGAAATGTTCTTTTGCCACATAAGTTCCTCGTAATTGTATTACGACCTTACGAGGAAACAGTTTTCTCGTTTTTTACGAAGAACTTATTTTACTTCTAGTTTTCCTTGTAAAGTCCTAGTAACTTCGACGTAAATTTACTAGGAAAAATTTTCCTAGTAAACTCTTAGTTTTCTTGTAGTGTTACTCCCATTCGTATTGACTTTTTAAATCCTTTCTATAGCTTTTCTGAGCTGTATGAGGTGATGCCTCTGTTTCTTGAAATTGTTACAATCTTTTTCTTGTTTTTTTTTCTTCATTCACTGTAAGTTGTTACACTTAGGATATTCAAAACACACAAAAAACAGATATACAATGTTGGTTTTGTGACGATTGTATTCTTTGAGCAATGGTTGTCTTCTTTCCATGTTGATTTTGTGATGATTAATAGATTGATCTGCTAATGTTGTTTGATTTTTTTCATCTAGTGTTGAATCTCGTTGCCTTAATAAGACCACAAATTTGTTTACTGCTTAACACACATGTTAAAACTTTCTAGAAATTTTGATACTTTATATAGAGATGCAACGTTGTTCTAGATCAGATCACAGCTTCTGGTGTTTGTATCTTTTTGATGACTCAGTAATACTACAAGGCAATGACATCTTCTATATGGGCCGGTCTGTTTCAATTGATTGTGTTTAGGCCCAACATGTTTGCAAATTTTAAATGAAAGTTAGAGTATGAAGGATGTTTGTCCAGGTATGACCCATATTTGCCCAATTAATTTTGTTATATTTTACAATTTTGGTCAGTAATATGACTTCGTTTGATAGTTTTTATTTTAAAAAAAAACATTTTCTGTGCGGTGTAAAATCGAAATATAATAATCACCCAAAGCATGACTTTTAGTGTGAAACAACAAAAATATATGAACATATGCTTGACATTTTGTGTCAAAGATAGTAACAAGTCAAAATTGGATTCAAAAGTTTCATCTTTTGCATAAGTGTCTGTGATTCGCCAGGAAAAAGAAGATGAAGATAATGTCACATGTCTCAACAGTCTTTCCCGGAAGACAAAAGCTTACATCCATTCACATGATCATGTCCAATCATGTCATACATACACCTTGACTGTGTCTTTACATATAGAAACACAAATCTATTAATAATACACATGTACACATATAGCTTTCCAATTATATGAAATATGTGCTTGGAAATACTAAGAACATAGACAAAGGTGAATTTTCAGATAGATTCTAAAGTAGTTAATATTTACATTTTCATATTATTAAGTTATTTAATTAAATTATAATATTCAAAAGGAAATTAAAACACTTAAAATCAATATAGGTTAAGGAAGTAAACTGGGTATTCAAGAGTTTCTTATTCAAAATATTCTTCTCTATATTCCTTTTTATTATTGTTAAGAATCCCACTGAAATGCTCTACAAACCACACTTTATGTAATAAAACCTTTTTACCCATCATTTCAAATGTTTCCGTTTTTCGTAAACTATTTTCTCAACTATTTATACACATGAAAGATAATCCTGATTTGTTAAAGGTTTATAAAGTTTTCATAATGAATTGCAATAATGGGGTGGTCTAAGGAAAAAATCTTTATTTTTTTTTTTGGACATCAGGAAAAAATCTTTAAAAGTAGTAAAAAGCTTGTGGTTCCACCTCCTTTCTTATGCATGCATTAATCAACAAATCTTTTATAATTCATCATATGCTACTCTTTTCATCATATCATACCAACAAAAAAATGAGACAAATGGTTTGAAAAGCATTTGGAAAAGAAATTTTAGTACACTTCAAATCATCCAACTTCCATTGAAATAATGATTAACCACACTTGTGGGATAAAAGTTTCGTTAATACAATCATTTTTCTATAGCAATTCTAAAAACATTTGGGATCTATCAGTCTTCGTTCAAGTAGAACGTAAAAACATATATAAATAATTCGCTTACATGTGAAGCCAATATAATCTCATAACATGACGTCAATGCACCATGTGGATGCATAATGGCAGAAATATTGCATTATATAGACAATACGTGTTTGTGATATCGTGACCTAACAGCGATTATCGATGACACTGCTCACTCCTGTTTTTGGACTTACGCTCAAGTGGGCAGAAGCTACAACATCAAAATGTACATTTTTATTTGAATAGGCAATTATAATATAAATGATAAAAGACAAGTTTTGGGTGGCTACCCAATGGAACTTTGTCCATATCATCCATAATATACTTTTTCTTGTTCATGTTTTATATAATAATTGAATGCATTGTCTCAAATCTCAACCCATTTGCATATGGTGAATCGCACCAGAAAAACAATCACCGACAAGAATCCAATCACTCTCTTATTGAAATGGTCGTCTAGATTTATGGGTCATTAGTAAAATCTAGACCCTACTATCAGTAAAACGATGGTAAAAATATTGTTTGAAAGTGAATCAGGTAAAATCTTTTAATGTTTTTTTTCTTTTTTTTTTTTAAATGAAAAATTGATCTTGCTTTCCTTCGCATTGGATACCATTACTATTATTATTCACTTTTTTGACCGTTTGGCCACTTATTAACCTTATACCGATTCTACCCCTCTCCGTGATCTGTGCGTCAGTCATGGGCTCACGGGAGTGACATACGCGTACGGTGAGTGATTACAACTTCTCGCACGTGTGCCTTTTGGTTACAACACGTCTGATCTCTACTAGCAAGCTTTTCCAGTTAATGGCAGTGACATCCGAATCGATGATGACTCGTAGCTGAGGGTAGTTAAACTTAAACGGCGTTAATTAAAACTATTAACGGTAGGTTCTGCTGTGACACTGGAACTACCTTATGTAAAAAATTTCTAGCTAGTCAAGAACTCTCTCTTCTAGTTTTCTTTTCTTTCTTCTATTATTTTATCTTCTATATATATCTATATTTTTAAAAATATTAGTGAATTTTGTAATTTTCCCATCTCCACAATGCTGAAAAATCACAATGCATAGATTTTATAGTATTAAATGTTAATGTGTTTTGACGGAAATTTGTAATGAATTCGCATTTATCCTAATTATGGGCATGCAGTCAAAAATAAATAAAGAATGAGATATCTTTGACCAGGGCATGCAGTCGACCACATTTTAACGAATTATAAAACAAATACTCATTTGGCAGTACAATTTTTTTGTTCTCATTATGTAAAAAACCGTGTGATGTTTTTCAAAGTATCTACTCTTTAGTTTTCACATTGATTTACGGTTAATCACTTTCACCGTTGACCAAAATTGAGGTGGATTATATAAACTACGTACTACCATCAGTCGTGTAAAACAGACTAATCATATAAAAAAAAAGATCAAATAATGCAGAGCAACATGCGATCAGGATTAGAGCATAAAGAATCTTTGTCTTAGTGATGAGTGATAACATTGAAATTCGAATTATACCAAATAATATTATTATTATTAACCGTGGATGAAACGCCAATCTGGCTCTGATCCTTCTGACCATTCCACATTGTCTTCTTTAAAATTAAAAATATATTTTCTGGGACTTTCCACCAGATTCCCTTTACTTTCTTACCATTTTACGAAACAATTTCAATTTTTTGTTTCCATCATCAATATTTCGAGCCCTAATTGAAACTTAGGTTCCTGTCATTTTCAGCATGTAATAGCCATATTCAAGTGTATTAAATATCTATAAATCGTGAATGGCGAATATTCGCTAAATATAAAGGGGAGAAAATGAAAAAGCGAGTTGGGAAAAGGGAAAAAAAAGAAGAAGAGAATATTTAATTAGTTTACTTTTGAATTATTCCAGTGGAGAGTGTAAAAATAATTAAAAAGGATACTGAAGAGGGGAAAGGGAAGTGATAAGAGAGAGAGAGAGAAAGTTTGGATTTTGAGCTGTGTGGTTGGATTCTTGCGAGAAAGAAACCAGACCCACCACCACTTCAGAAGCCCTTTGTCCCAACCGAACCACATTATTATTGTTCAAACCTCATCTCCTTAGGGTTTCTTTCTTGTCCCTAAAAGCTCATAGTGTTGTTGAAGAGAGGAGGCGAAGCTTCTTTTCAGTGTTTTTCTGGCGACAATGGGAGTGGCGCATCTTAGCAGGCAGAAGGTAGCTAGAGGTTTCTTGGTGTGTTTATGCCTTTGGGGCTTCTTCTCTCTATCCTACGCCGCAAGGTCCGGCTTATCTAAGCAGAAGTTCGAAGTCAAGAAGCATCTGAACAGGCTCAACAAACCTGCCGTCAAGAGCATTCAGGTAAAGCAAATCTATTTATCTTTCTTCTTCTTTTTTAAAGTCTTGGTCTTTTCTGCTTGGATTGATTTTTGTGAGCATCATAATCTGATGATTCCTGGTTTCTCTCTCTTCCTCCTACCACACAATGATGATAATGATTTTCTTTTACCTATTTGTTTATTGTTCTAAACAATTGAACACTAATAAGTACGAGATTTCATTAAAAATTATATGATTCCTCTGAGTAAAGTTTCCAACTTTGGATGTTGATATAAACAGAGCCCAGATGGTGATATCATTGACTGTGTTCCCATCACAAAGCAACCAGCTTTTGATCATCCTTTCCTCAAAGACCACAAGATTCAGGTTTACATATTAGTTTTATTTGGGCTTTTTTTTGGTGTGTGTGTTAATAGTGCTGATGTTTTTAAGTTACTTCCTTTAGATGAAGCCTAACTACCACCCTGAGGGACTCTTTGATGACAACAAAGTGTCTTCTTCTTCTACTAAATCTAAAGACAAGGAGCCCCATATCCCTCAGTTATGGCATCGTTATGGCAAATGCGAAGAAGGAACCATTCCCATGAGGAGGACTAAAGAAGATGATGTCTTGAGAGCAAGTTCTGTCAAAAGATATGGCAAGAAGAAGCATAGAACTGTCCCTTTACCTAAATCTGCTGAGCCTGACCTCATCAACCAAAGTGGTCACCAGGTTAGTCAAAGTGTGGTTGTGTCTTTGTTGTTGTTTGTTTCCTAATCTGAGTTGTCTTGTTTGTTGAAAATGTAGCATGCCATAGCTTATGTGGAAGGGGATAAGTACTATGGAGCTAAGGCGACAATAAATGTGTGGGAGCCAAAGATACAGCAGCAGAATGAGTTCAGCTTGTCGCAGATATGGCTTCTTGGTGGCTCATTCGGACAAGATCTTAACAGCATCGAAGCTGGTTGGCAGGTACACACTCAAGTTATCTTCTACGGACTGTAAAATTATGGTTTTGGGTTCTCATGTTCTGTGTATAATGATTTGTGTGCTGTTTTACCACAGGTGAGCCCGGATCTGTATGGTGACAATAACACAAGACTCTTCACTTACTGGACTGTAAGTTCCTCAGATCATTCTCTAAATCAAATGCTTATGGGACTCATTTGTTTCTGTTTTTTGCTCACTTTTCTTCCCATTTCTATGTTCCATGCAGAGTGATGCATATCAAGCTACTGGCTGCTACAACCTTCTTTGCTCAGGTTTTATTCAAATCAATAGTGACATAGCAATGGGAGCAAGCATCTCCCCTGTCTCTGGATACCGTAACTCGCAGTATGATATCAGCATTCTGATCTGGAAGGTATGTTAAAGCCATAAAGACAAATGAGAGCTTAAAAAGACAAGAAAAGCTGACATCTTTCCATGTTAACTTTGTTACAGGATCCAAAAGAGGGACACTGGTGGATGCAATTTGGAAACGGCTATGTTTTAGGATACTGGCCATCTTTTCTCTTCTCCTACTTAACAGAGAGTGCGTCAATGATTGAATGGGGAGGTGAAGTAGTGAACTCACAAGCAGATGGACACCACACTTCAACGCAAATGGGCAGTGGTAGATTCCCAGAAGAAGGGTTTAGCAAAGCAAGTTACTTCAGGAACATTCAAGTGGTTGATTCTTCAAACAACCTCAAGGCACCTAAAGGACTTGGAACATTCACTGAGCAGTCTAACTGTTATGATGTTCAACCTGGAAACAATGATGATTGGGGTCATTTCTTCTACTATGGAGGTCCTGGTAAAAACGAGAACTGTCCATAAAGTAGTAGACAGACACCAAGTGATATGTACTGACACTCACCTGTTCCGGTTCTCTTGTTTTTGTGAATTCACCTGTGTTTTCTATCTACACACAGTCCAACCTTCTTGGGTAGTAGTATTAGGGATGGTAAAAGTTATGTAATGGTTAGTTTTTGGTTTCTTCTTGTTCATTGTAAGTAGATGGGCAAGAGGAAAGTGTGTCTTAAGTTTCTTTGAAAACATAGAAACTTTACTTTGTCTCGTTTGTATTGTGTCATTTGTTTAATCAAGTGAGTGAATCTCTCTTTCTTATTCTTATTAACAAGTTTCAGAGACTTTTGCATTAACTTTTGCCTGAATGAGTCTATTAATCTTCACTACCTACTCTATGTTTCGTTGGTATTAGTACAAAAGGTTCAACCTTTAGACAATTTAAATGGTGTGATCCATGAAGTTAAACTCTGGTTTAGTCGTAATCTTAGTTAAGCTGCAAATTTACGATTAATTGGATTTGGCTTTTAAACGCAATCAATAAGCTTTCTTTAATTACGTTGGTATAATACGAGAGCCAAGAATTCTCAAGGACAGTTCTTCCAGTACACCAACAACTCCAAGTTGCCCTCTGGCATCATAACGGTGTGCAAGAACTTCCTCAGGAACAACCAACTGATCCAATTCTTTCAACATCTCGATAGGTAATGGATTAATAGCAGAACACTGGCTCACAGCTAACTTCAACTACACATGAAATATAGGGTGAATCGTAGAAGAAGCCAGCAATTGCAGACGATAAACCATTTTACCAATCCGAGCCACAATGGGAAATGGACAAAAACTTTGCAACTAACTTTTGACAAACACGTTTCACCACCGACTGTTACCGATATGGCTTCAGCTTCAGAAACATGGAATCACCCACTGCAAATTCAACATCTCTCTAATGAATATCATCATTCTTCTTCATTAACTCCTGAGCTCGTAAGAGATTAAGACGTATTTGCTCCAACATAGCATCACGTTCCCTCAAAACTGCCTTCAATTCAAAGTTTTTAGTAGAGCCTTCCTCAAAACGCAGTAAAGAAGGTGGTTCACGACCATACACCACTAAGAATGGAGAAGCTTTCAACGACGTATGGAAAGATGTATTGTACCACAGTTCTGCCCACACAAAAAATTTGTGCCAACTATGTGGATGAGACGAAGCAAAACATCTCAAGTAAGTCTCCAAACAACGATTCAGAACCTCTGTTTGACCATCATTCTGAGGATGAAAAGCAGTACTAAACTTCAACTTGGTCCCTGCAAATTTAAACGTATCAGTCCAAAAAGCACTAAGAAAAATACAATCCCTATCGGACACAATGCTCCGAGGATACCCATGTAAGCGAACCACCTCACTAACAAACTTCAACACCACATCCATATTAGAGAATGAATGCTTTAAGCCAATAAAATGACCATATTTACTAAGCCTATCCACCACTACCAAGATCACGTTAAACCCCTGAGATGTTGGTAACCGTTCAAGGAAATCCAACGATATATTTTCCCAAATCTTATCAGGAACATGTAAAGGTTGCAGCAGCCCCGCCGGAAACAAGGTCGAATACTTATGAGTTTGACAAACAGAGCAAAGAGACACATAATTCTGCACTGTCTTTAGCATACTTTCCCAATAAAAATGTTGTTGGATCCTCTTCACTATCTTTAACACCCCAGAATGGCCACCTAGCTTACTATCATGAAACTCTCTCAATATAACTGGAATAAACTGAGATTGCTTAGGTAACACTAAACGCCTCTTGTACCAAACTCTTCCATCCAACACTTGATAATGAGCATTGCCTAACCCGTCTGCAACACGCTTCTGCAACTTCTGCAACTCCTCATCCGAATCAATCTCCCGATAAAGATCTTGCAGCTTTAACGCCATAGGGACTGTCAAAGCCAACAACAATACACTTGAAGAGCCTACAGCCTTCTCCATACACCGAGACAAACCGTCTGCAGCCTTATTCTCACAATCTGGTTTGTAAAAAATATCAAAATCATATACCAACAGCTTAGTAAGCCACTTTTGATATTCCATATTTACTTCTTTCCGTTCTAGCAAAGATTTCAAACTTCTCTGATCAGTGTGCACAATGAATTTCCTGCCCAGAAAATAACGTTTCCATTTCAGGACAGCCATCACAACTGCCATCAACCCTCTTTCATTTGCTGGCTTCAACCGTTCTCTATCTGTTAAAGCATGACTGAAAAATGCAATGGGGTTCTTGTCCTGCATTAACACTGCACCGAGACCAAAACCGGAGGCGTCTGACTCCACAATAAACTTCTTGTAAAAATCAGGCAAAGCTAACACAGAAACAGTCACCATAGCATTCTTTAACTTCTCAAACGCCTCCTCTTCCTCAACTGACCACTCAAACTTATCCTTCTTCAACAACGTCGTTAGTGGCTTAGCTAACACACCATAGTTCCTCACAAAACGTCTATAGTAACCGGTCAAGAACCCACAAAGTTTCCTAATTGTCTTAAGAACATGCCAAGATTTCATCGCTGCAGTCTTTGTAGATTCAGTAGAAACCCCTGTACCAGAAATGACATGGCCCAAATACTCAACTTCCTTCAAACCAAACACACACTTCTTTTTGTTTGCTAACAACGTATTCTCATGAAACACACTTAAAACCGCCTTCAAATGCTCCACATGCAACTCCATAGATTGACTGAAAATCAAGATATCATCAAAGAGAACCAAGACAAACTTCCTAAGAAAAGGCTTGAATAGACGATTCATCAAAGCCCGAAACGTTGCAGGTGCATTGGTCATTCCAAATGGCATCACCAAGAACTCATAATGACCTTCAATAGTCCTAAAATCTGTCTTTTGGATATCTTTCTCTTCCATACGAATTTGATGATAGCCATAGCGTAAATCCAACTTAGAGAATACCACTGCACCATGTAACTCATCCAATAATTGATCAATAACCGGAATGAGAAACTTGTTAGGAACGGTGACTCTGTTCAAGGCCCTGTAATCCACACAAAACGATAACTGCCATCTTTCTTCTTAACCAAAAGTACTGGACTTGAGAAATGACTGTTATTGGGACGTATAATCCTTGCTTCAAGCATCTCATTGCCCATCTTCTCCATGACCATCTTTGTAGTATGTGGATATCTATACGGACGTACTGAAACCGTAGAGACTTCAGGAACCAGCTCTATTGAGTGCTCAATGCCCCTAAAAGGAGGAAGTTGCGTAGGAAGATCAAAGATTGTAGCAAATTCCTCGAGGACCAGAGACACTTCAACAGGATACTCTGGTATAGTAGACGAGGCTTCACTGCTATCCCAAAGCACTTCACTACCTTTAAAGTTGGCAGCAAAGAAGGGTGGTGGTGACTTGAATACGGAAAGATCACCATGTAGTTTATGATCCCCAAACAAGGTGACTCAATTTCCTTTCTAGACAAATGAAAGTTTTTGTTCCTTCCAGTCAACCTCACATTTGCCAAGAGTTTCAAGCTAGTGTATGCCCAATACAACGTCCACTGATCCCAGTTCAAGTGAGATGAAGTCCGATGTAAAAGTAGTAGAGTTAAGTTGAAAAGAAACTGAACGGCAAACGCCCAATCCTTTAACAATAACTCCATTACCGAGAAGTACATCTACGCTACTATCCGCATAAACTCTCAAGTGTAGCCTCTTCAAAACTTCCGGGGAAATGAAATTGTGGGATGCTCCAGAATCGAGCAAAACTTTCATCTCACAGTTACCAATTTGACCAAGTAACTTCGTAGTTTTAGGAGAATTAATCTCCAAACGCATTAAAAGATAATGTTTTAAGCTCCGGTTACATCCATTACTAGTCCACAAAATATCTTCATCAGGATCCTCCAAAACTTCCACATCAAATCAATTCATGAATGTCATAACTCGCAACTCTCTGTTAGGAAAAACTGCTGCATGAGCTTGTTGGTGTCAAAATCGGTCACGACGGAATCAATGGCTAAAAGTCTCCGCAAAAATAAAATTACGTTTTATAAAACACGAGAAGTTGTTTTATAAAATTCTAAGGACTTTCCGAACAAAGGAAATCCGCGGAAGACTTGGAGATCGTCATCTCGGAAAAACAAACGAAACAATCGCCGATTACACGATTGCCCAAGTCAAGCGAAAAACCGCAAAAAAAAACGCATCCGTCGTAAACCGTATTTTATAATCATAAGGTATTCTTATATAGGAAATTACAAGATCATAGAAAAGGAAAAACTTAAACCAACTAGGAAAAAGAAATAGTACAAAACCTAATATAACATGAAATAGGAGAAACACAAAATTTTAATACAATGGATTAGAAATATTCGGCTGACCTAGAACTCTAATGGGCCGGTCCGGTTCTGATTCCAGTAGGGCCGATTATGGACATTCACACCATTTGGTTAACACTCCCACTTGGATATCATAACCATGTAATACGCATCCCAATATGGTGAACTCAATATGAAAGCAACATAGGACAAGCTGTTGCTGGTGTGTCTAAGAAAATTTCAGAGCTGATGTTTATTATCAGTGAATATAACAACTTGATGAGCTTTATATCTAGTTAATTATATAAATATCATATTTAGTGTTTTAGCTAGTGAGAAATTATTTGGGTCAAAAAATAAAATTTTGAAACTTACAGGCAAATAGTAAATTAGAAAAGAGTACTGATTCATCTATGTTTCCAACTACATGCGAGAGTGATGCATATCAAACTACTGGATGCTACTGTTGTTATAGTCTTATTATACTCTTGTGCTTCTGGTGGAAACCTTTAACCCCACTTGAAGCTAGAGTCTAAGCTTTTTTCCTTTTACTCAAGAAATATTTCTCTTTCTTGCCAAACCCAATTAAGTGTAATTTCGTATGGATACCACAATAGAACAACTTGAGCAATTCCAAGAAAAACTAACTTGATTTATTAAGAATCACTTAAAAAAATCCCACTAGATCTGTTCAATCCG